CAGCAGCAACAACAACAGCCATGACGTGTACATTACACTACGTCCGCTGCTTTTATCATCGTTTTTATCGTTTTGGTCTCAGCAATTCTCCATTTTTTACAAATTTTCACAATGTGGCAGCTTTTGATTGTTAGATTCCAGTTTGTCGTGGCAGGTAAATAGTCTGTTCCAGGATGCTTGTTCTCATGTTGAATTCAGTCAGTCGCAGAGTCACTGGAAAAACGAAAAATCAAACAATGTTCTCGCACAGTGTCTTATTCTTCAGTTTCGCATGTTTTCCATTTCTATTCGCATTTTGTTGATAGCACGTGAAGGTATTATAAATAAAAATTTGTGGGGAGGAGGGGAGTTTAGTTTGTGTGTCTTTAATAAAGTTTTGGAAACTGGTGTTAAGAGTTTATACACTGAAGAGCTACAGAATTGTGGGGAAGTAAACAATCACACATATAAAATCTAATCGCACATGTGAAATCGAAAACGCTACATCATATCTTCAGTGATCCTCTTTTCTGATCCTGTTGAGTAACGGCGCGCAGCAGTACATCTGTGGAAGCTCTTTAATGCGAAAGTTCCGAGTACAGTGTTGCACAAGTCCGCTATTCCAGCACTCCTTGATGCTTATCACTTAGAGGATTAACTTTCGCAATCAAGAAATCGCAGTACCTCAGAGCACCTCCATAAAAATTTTCGAAGCACAGCGGAGGGAAAGCTTGTTGATTCTGCTGTTTACAGGGTCCTGGCGGGTGCAGGAATTTACATGTTAGTTCAGACACATTGTAAACAACGCACAAGAGAGGTAATGTACATCACCTTGAAGCCGTTCGAAAGCCAGGCACGATTCAGTGAGGGTTGACACTGTTTCGCAACCGTAATACTCACACTAGTTTGCATGCATGTTTGTGTGTGTGTGTGTGTATGCATTTATGCGAAGCGGATTACTTGTGATTTATGTTTTTATAACGAACCACATAACACACTAATAACTGTACAAGGAAATGGGGAAATGAAGAATGTTCCAGGGAGCCAAAGCTCCCCACAACAGGGCCGGACGACTCTCGAGAAGGACATAACGAATACTATATGAATCGGGGGAAGAGGAAGCACCTAATTACCCAAGCAGGCACGGATCAGAAGTATTGCGTCACTCTAAAGTGAACAGGTTGTGCAAAGTTTAATCCTAGGTTAAAATTTGTAAAATGAGGATCAAGGAGGATGTTACATCATTGTGACGTGATAGTTTTACGACATTCTAACAAAAAAGCAATAAATCATAATACGATATTCTCGCGAAAAACCTAGTCGAAAGCATACTGGCTGCAAGGATGCGTTTTTTGCACAGTTCCTCCACAGCTTTTTTTCGCCAGTGGCACGCTCTTTCCGGCAGATGCTTCTAGCTAAAAGAATTGAGACTGGCCGCCACGACTTTTAATTATTTTTACAATGACTCCCAACCCATGCCCAAACAATTCAGCTCTTTAGATGCTTCGGTTGCGGGATTACGTCAAATTTCACGTGTTCGTGCTTGAGCAGCAACGTGAATGCTTCCTTCCCCTGCGGTTGCTCAAAACGGTCCTGAGCAGCGCTCAAAAGCTTTCAGTACTCAAGCCGCTCTGGTTGCAGAGTTACGTCGAATTCACGTGTTCGTACGTGAGTGGCAATGTGGATGCTGTTTTCGCCTGTGGTTGCTCAAACACAGTCCTGGGTAATGCTCAGAAAGTTCCAGTACTCCAGCTGCTCTAGTTGTGGGGTTACGTCAAATTTCACGTCTGCATACGTGATACGTACGTGAGACGTGAAGAAATATATATGTCGTTTTTGTGTCCATCTGGCCAAAGGTCACCCGTTGGTTATGCTCAGAAAATTGCAGTCATTTGGCTGCTTCAATTCTGAAGCTACAAAAGCGCATGCGTGGAATTTTCACGTGTTCGTACGTGAGATGCAGAAGGGCTGGACAACTCAATTTACTTTCACGGGCACA